TGCTGGGACAAAGTACTGAAAATGCATAGCTTAAAGAAGGAAGAGTTTAGTTTGGCTCTCAGTTTTAGAGGTTTCAGAACATAGTCAAGCTGGTTCCATTGCTTTTGAGCATCAGTAAAAGCAGAAATATCGTGGTAGTGTGGTGTGGTGGAGGAAAACTGTTCACCTCATGGGAGTAGAGAAGCAGAGAGAGTGAGAGTGACAGAGAGGAAGGGATGGGACAAGACATACCCTTCAAAGACATGGGCCTAATAACCTACTTCCTTCAACTGGACCCCACTTCCTAATCGCCCATTCAGTTATGTACTCATCAATAGATTAATCACAGGTGAAGTTTGTGAGGGGCCTTGCAAGCCTAAGGACCTGAGTTCGATCCCCGGCACCAAAAAAAAAAGGGGGGGGCATATTCTTATCGCTTCTCTAGGTCTTACCTTAAACATTGCTGCACTGTGTATCTAACCATTCAATACCTGAATCTTTGGAGGACACCTCATAGTTCAACTGAAATAGATGCTATACAAAGTTGATATTTAAAACACATTTGGGTATGATGGGGTTAATTGTAAACTGTATTTATTCTTTTTTTATTTTTGTAGTGCTTGTTCTGGTATGGAATTTTACTTTTTTAGAAGGTCAGCTTCAGCAGTTTAACTGAGTGTGTATTCCTCATTTTCCAGCTTGAAAGGTCAATGGATGCTTTTGTGAATGGCCCCAGAAGGTTCTCTCAAGAGACCGCAGTGAAACTAACTGAAACGAAACTACTAGTCTTTTACATCTAGTTAAAACAAGGTAATTCAACTTATCATGAATATGTTAATGTTCATAGCAAATCCCATTAAACATTTTAATACTTGGAATTTTGGAATCTACTGAACTAAAAAGACCAGTGTCTTCACCTTCTGCTCCGTTTACCATTCTCTAACTTAAAACAGTGGACGTCTATGCTTTCAAGTCTTCAAAGGATAGTTTGAGTGGTAACCTGCTGAGTATCTTCAGATACAGTTAGTGTGATGGGAAGTAGGAAGGAATTAACAAATTGATCCATGCTCAAGTTGCAGTTGTAGAATTTCTATTTAATAATAATTAAAGTTCGCATGGAACTTACCATGTGTCAAATGGCATTCCAAGCACCTAACATATGTTAACTCATATAATAACCACAACAGCATAGAGTAAATATTATTAATATTTCCTTTTTTACAATGTAGATAGATATCTTGTCTGAAGTCACATGTTTCATGTCCTGAAGACTTGGTGATTTTACTCCTACAGCTGCCTTTCAGAAGCTAAAGTCTCAGACCCTATACTTGCTTCCAAGGAGCCTCTGTTTTCAGGATCAGGAAATGTGTCCTGTATGAAGAGCAGAATAAATCTTCACGCATCTTTCCCTCCATTGTGTATCCCATTCACTTATTTATCCATTAATTTGCCAGTTACTTACTGTTTACATGCAGTGAGTTGCAACACCACTTGGATCTCTTTGTTTATTTCTTGTTTATAAGAATACATTTCATAGAGTTCTACTCCACCATAAAGAAAGTTGAACTTGAGTCATTTGTAGGAAAATGGATTCAGAGACCATAGCATTAAGTGACATACAAGTTTAAATATAACATTGTTTCTCCTATATGAGAAATCTAGAATAAAAATAAAGAACAAAATAAATTGCTAATAGGAAGTAGGGAGATAGATCTACCTCAAAGGGGAAGAGAATCATGAGTTGGAGGGGGCAGGGAAGAATAGGATGAGAAAGGAAAATAGTGAGATATGTTTTGTACATGCACGAACTCCATACAAGGAATGTAAACATTATGAACTGCAAATAAATACACACACACACACACACACACACACACACACACACACAATAGGAGGGGTCAAGGGATGAGTGGAGGAGGAGTGAGGGATGGGAAAGGTGTCAAAAACAAGAATTTATATATGTTGTGTACATGTACCAACTTCCCAAAAAGACTGTAAACGTTATGTACTACACACACGTACTAATAAAAAAAATGAATTTCACAAACTCATTTTACCTTACAGTTATAATTCTCTAAGAGAGATACAAACCACTATGTAGTCTAAATCACTATAGATCTACATCTTGTTTGGATTTGTTTACTGAGCAACAAATGGAAATTAGCTTTTATGAAACTCAAATATTTAATGTAACTCAAGGCTACTCTTTGAAAGTTTTCTATTCACAGTTGGCACAGCTGAATCTAGTAATGTGGGGGACTTTGAAAGTCATGTAAGATCAATAAAAACAAATGTAACCCTTTCTGCTTCTTGGGAAAAGGTATAGATTTATTTGTATCGGTGAAACTGTATTTGGAGAATGGGTATGTAAAAATACGGTTATTCATATAGCCCGCATTCTTAAAGTTAAATTCACAAAAGAGCAGTTTATATCTTCAGAGAAATCAATTAATCTACTTCCTTCAATATGGATGTCCTTCTGGCTTTTGTATTGGGTGCAATCTCGTTTTATTATTATATTGCACCAATAATAGCATTCCAAGCATTCTCTTGGCAAGGAGCAATAAAAAAGCAGCATCCTGTGTTAGATAAAATCTTTCATTATATACAACCAAAATGCCATGTATTTTGCAATGATGAAATGTATTTGTGTATTTTACACATGTGATATGAATCATTTTAAAAGCTATAATCACAACACAACAGATGCTAATAAATTTTCAATCTGTTAGGCTTTGTTTTCAGGAGAATGATTTTGATTTGTGATAGAAATGTTACACGGGTGATTATGTCTAGCCACGGAGATTATGGAGGTCTGGTACTCTAACCTCTGGGGTGTTATATACTATCTGATAATATTTGCTCAGGACCCACTTCCTGGGGACTGTGCTTCACTGTAATGGGGTGTTTTGCCTGTCTTAAGCTCTTTTAGGATTCTATGTCCAGCTTTATGTTATTTATCAACACCTGTATGTTAAGGATCTCAATCCTCCAGAGGACATTACTCAATCCGGGTTTTAGGCCTGAGCTGTCCACTTTTCTGGCATTGCTTCCTTCTCAGTAGTGGACTGTTGGCTAATCCTTCCTTTACTCCCTCTTTCAGCTTTATAAGTTCAGGTAGCTAACCAGTTAATTCCTTCTACTCACTTTATATCCGGTGTCAGGAATCCTAATCTTTGTTTGTTTGTTTGTTTGTTTGTTTTTTGTACCAGGGATCGAACTCCGGTCCTTGCGCTTGCGCACCAGTCGGCAGGCGGCGAAACCACTGAGCTAAATCCCCGGCCCCGGCCCCTAGGGATCCTAATCTTGATCTCACCTTCTGGTAATAATCTATGGTTTGGCAAACAAACAAACAAATAGTTGCCTTTCTGCGAGGAAACTATGCCCTCAGTTCGAAAGAGTATCCTTGGAAAGGAGTCACTCAGTACTGAAGTACTATAGGTAGAAGAAGGTGACTGGAGCTATCTCAAGACGTCTGCTTCTACAAGGAGTAAATCCAAAGCCAAATCTAAGAGACAGCTGTAGATGAACGCAGAATCTAGAATGTAGTAAACATCCATTGTAGTCCTGAGGCGGATTCAGAAGCTACAAGTCAAGAAACGTGGGTCAAACTGGAACAGAATATACTGTAGCAAAAGTCATAAAATGGAAACGTACATGATAACATCAAGGTTGGATATTAAATTGGTATTAACAAAAGTTTGCTTAAAGGTTTAATGTAGCACCAAACACTTGTCTTTTCTCTCATATATCTATATTACAATTGTCACCATAAGCAGGTGTTAATTGAACTAATTGATTTCTGACAGTGAGTGTCATCTAATGGTGAGAAAATAACTTTGAAAATGAAAAGTATTGGTTTCTTTTTTTTAATAAGATAAAGCTACTGAGGGTCATTAATAAATATCTGATCATATGTATTCTTAATTTGGGGGTACTTATGATATTCCTAGCAATCTTAAATTTTGTATTTTTGTACTGTAAAAATAACATATATTCCTGCATATTTTAATGACTAGTAATATATATATATATATGCATGCACTAAACATATTCCTGATTGAAAGCAAACTTTTGTGACATAATTCTTCAACTCTCTATCATATTCCATTAATGTTTTATAAGTTAATTAAAAATTCTCCATTTAGGAGATATACTTCCCTTCACTGTAAACAATGAAACAATGAACATCTTTCACTATAGGCAGAATGCAAATACTTAATCTCTTCTTTGGATATGGCATCCAAAATATATTTCTAATAGCTCACATCTATGGTTTTGTAAAATGGGACTCATTGCAGAAACTTTCCCAAAAGAATATAAAAAGACAAAATTACTGGAAATATAGTTGAGCATGTAGTAATTTCCTTGTAACTTTTCTAGTATGTAGAAATACTAAGGCTCACAAACAGAGGACTTGGCAATAGATTTTGGTGTCAGAGTTGGAAATATTTTTAGAGATATCTTAGTCAAATTTTCTTTATTTTGTATCTGAAGGAACAAGAGTCCCAGATAAAGGTAGTTATTATTTTTTGAGCAGGGAAATTAGTCCAGGTCCTCTGTCTTGATGTTCAGTGATTTGTTATATCATGTCAGAGTCCACTGGGCTTCTTTTTTTTATTTTTTTTGGCACCGGGGATCCACTGGGCTTCTTATGGGTGACATCCCATGCATGATATTCCAAGAGCAGTACATATTAATATTTTATCATTGTTAAACACATATTTGCATGTTTATATTTGTACATATCAATAAAAACTTACATACTTAATCAGTGCAGCATATATTAATATCTTTAAATCTTGCTTGTTTTCTAAAGAATTAGGGTCATTATTGCCACTGGATAGCCCAGGACCCTTAGAGGTGTGTAGGATTTATGCTAAGTAATCTCCCCTCCCAACTGGAGAACAGCACCAATTGTGACATCACCAAATCAGCATTTACAAACCATGGACAAAGGAATAAAACTACACTGAGTGAAAAAAAAAATCTTTCTTGCTTTTGTTGTTTACTTAGTACATCTTCCTTTTTAATGGCACCTTGATATTGTTGGCAGGATAATTTCTTCATTGTTGGGTAAAAGTTGTAGTAGGCAGATTTCTAAGTGGCTCCCTATGCTATGCAGTTATATGTTACCTAACATGGAAATGGGGATTTTGAGTATAAAATTAAGGCTTTGACTCACTGACTTAAAACAAGGAGATTATCTGTTTGGATCTAATCTATCAACATGATCTCTTTAAAATCCACATCTACTTCCTTCTCTAACTAATCACAGAAGAGGAAATCAGTGATATTCAAACTGGGCATGACCTAAGAATCTTTAGCAAGAACACAGTGGAGATCATATGTAAGTTCTGTGTGTTTTATTTAAGTGCAGAAAGTGACTCTTAACTGAAATCCTGCAAGAAAATTGTGACTTTTGTTCTCTACTAGGAACTTGAGTCACCTGAAGAGCTTAGTAGACAATTTTTTGAAGAGACTCAAAAAGTGAGCTCAACTTAGCAACAGCTTGATTGGAGTCTTGCAAGACCCTGAGGAGCAAACCCAGGTAAGCTTACTGACACTTCTGATCTACAGAGCTAGAAGTTTAAAAATGTGTGTTTAAATTGTTCAGTTTATAATACTTTTTATGCACCAACAAGGAACTAATACAAATCATAATTCAAGATGATTATCTTCCTCCACAGAAACTAGAGACTAGATTACCCTTTTCCCACTTCATACACACAGCAGAGGGCATGTGACCCAAAGTTAACCAAGGAGATATTCCATCCTAGGCTTTTGTATTTGATTGAAGGTAGAAAGAGGTGGGGTTTGGGAATTACAGGTACAATGTTATCATCAAACTACTTCTGGTGCTAAAGCACTGTAATACCCCAGTTTGCTAACCATCTGTCCCATACTTTGTAGTTGAAATTCTAAACCTGAATCTCCAGATAGCCCTGAAAATGGTAAATTTATTGAGGTAATTTCCAGTAATTCTATTTTGCTTTGATTATGAAGATTTGTTTCCTGTTACCTCTGAGAAACAACCTCAGTGAATGAAGCACTAAATAAAATATAAACCAATTATTTCCTAAATTGTGCAGTCATGTTCAGTAACCAAACCAGTTGTTTTTTTTTTCCAACCTGATTTGCTTAAGGGAATATTCCATGGCCTCATAGTGTCAGGACAAATCTTTTTCGGCTCCTTCTGCTAAGTTTCTACATATCGATTTCTGATGTTCCCAGGCCTGTAGAAATAAAAGTCAGGTGAAAAGATTTGTTGGGAATTTAGGTATGATCTGCCATCATTTATTATATTCTCAGTAGATAGTGTCTAAGAAGAGCATCCCTATTAATTTGAGAAATAATTTCCCACTTCAATCATATCAGCCAATCCCAGAGCCTAGGTCATAGAGCCTGTGATTTAAATTCGTATTTTCCTACCAGTTTATCTTTTGCTCATTTTTAATTGTATTTATTTACTTTGGAGTTTTGAGGTTTTAAAAGTATATTCAAGATACTTCTAATTGTTTATAATGAGACGTGATTTGGAAGCATTTTCTCCCAGGCTGTGGCTTACTTTACATGTTCTTAAAATGAACCACAACAAAATAAAAGGTTTTAAATTTAACAAGGTCTATTTTATTCATTTTTCCTTCTCTGAGTCCTAATTTGATATCAAGGGTAAGAACTCTTCACCTAGCCCTAGGTACACGTCCCCCTTTACCTGAGATTTTTAACAAGATTCAACTTACTGATTTCTCTTCCTGTGAGGCATGATTTGATATCAAGTATAAGAATTCTTTACCTAGCCCTAAATCCTAAAGACACCCCCCTTTTCCTAACACTTTGTTTTATATTTAAATCACTATTAATTTGAAATAATTACATACGACGTGAGACTTACGTCAAATGGCTTTCTTTCTCCTCCACACTCTACCTTTGTCCTCCTCATCTCTCTTTTCTGCCCCTTGCCTTTTCTACTTCATCCAGCTCTTTCTTTTCTTCTTCTTCCTCCTATAAATGTCCAATTACTCCAAGACCATTTCTTGAAATGGTTTTTTTTGCTACATTGATTTGCTTTTGAGCCTTTTCAAAAATCAGTTCAGAATATTGTATGAGTCTATTTCTGAATTCTCTATTCTGTTCTATTGATCTATCTTTTTATCAGTGTATTACCGTCTTGATGACTGTAACTCTGTGTCAGTCCCTAATATCAAGTAGAGTAATTGCTGCAATTTATCCTTTTGTAAGATTTTTTAGCCATTCTAGGACTTTTCCTTTTTACACACATTTTAGAATAAGCTTGTCAGTGTCTACAATAAACCTTGCTGAAGATTGACAGTAAATATATTAAACCTATAGAACATTTTGTTGATCAATTTATAGATGCCTTATTATGTTAAATTTCTAATCTATAAACATGGTATACACGTGTATCCATTTAAGTATTCATTAATTTCCTTCACAAATATTTTATGATATGGACATGGACATTCTAAAACATTTCACATTCAACAGTTAATTTTAACAGATAAATTTAAAAATTGCATCTTTAGAATGATTGCAAATAGTATTGTTTTTGATTTTTCATTCCACGTGTTTACTGTTAGTACAAAAATAAGTGATGTTGCAATTTATTTTGTGCATTACTCTTCTTTCTTGTAACTATACTGGAACTCAGTTACTATAGAAGTTGTTTTTAAAACTCTTTAAAATAGACAATTATTTGTAAATAAGGCTACTTTTTTTCTTTCAGATCTGTAGGCCTTTTGTTTCTTTATTTAGCCTTACTGAAGTGCATGCTATGTTGATAAGAGAGACGAGAGTGGGGGTCCTCATGTTGTCCCCAGTCTTAGAAGGAGAGTACTTATGCTTTTTTTTTTTTTAATTTTTTTTGGTACCGGGGATCGAACTCTGGTCCTCGTGCTTGCGAGGCAGGCGGCGGAACCACTGAGCTAAATCCCTGGCCCAAGTACTTATGCTTTTACCAGTACATATGAATACTGATTGTAGGATTTACAAAGATGCTCAGAACCTTTTATTTTTAAATTCCTAAAAATTTGTGTTCATGTTTGTGTTTGTTCCATTATAAATGGCTTTTGACATAAATGAGTTTTTGTTTAAGGTGGTTCTAACTTTCTGGCTAAAACCAGAAAATTTTCCCTGTTTTTCAGGATTACCAATATTGCCTCTTCATCTAAACTAGCCCATTTCTCCTACACTAGAAGCCAAACTAAGTACTAATATCTATCATACTTCAAAATGAACTACTTTATTATCATTCAGTCCTGAGGGACACAAAGAGAGAGAAGACATGGAGCCTGTGTTAAGCACCTGGAAAACTTAGTAGTATGTTAAACCATACCATGTACTTTAATGCGTGAGAGAGTGTGCAGTGTCGGGTATGACATAGTCATATGGCATTTACACACTGTAATAGGTTTTGGGTTGCAGCAGGGGAAATGACACTTATACAAAGGTTTAAAGACAAATGTGATTTTTACCAGAGAAAAAGGATGAGATGAAAATGGTAGGAAGCAGTCAAGCTTCTCAGGACTCAAATCCAGATAAGGAGAATGTTAGTGTCAAGATTCTACTAGAATAGGTTAATCTATAAAAGGAGGAAGTACTTAATGGCAAAGGATACTCAAGGGTGGAGTTTAGTAACCAGAGGATATTCCTGTTATTCTAATGTTGAATAGATCTTGAAGACTTTTAAAAAGAAAAGAGATAACTTTTGACTCCCTTTGCTGTAGGTTCATTGTGAAAGCAGAGACAGAAATATAATGATTCCTTTGATATTTTAAGCAGCTCAAAGCACTTTTATTAAATTGTATGCATCCAAAATTGCTAAGTTCTACACAGTACTTTCCCTTTACAAAATCTCACCCTTCCATAATCATGAGCTCATTCTCAAGGGAAACAAACAGGTCTTCAGGCAGAAAGTAAGCACCTGAAAGATCATATTCAGCCACAGAGGATGAGAAGAAACTATATTCTACTCAAAATGCAACTCAACTGACTGGGAGCTATTTGGCTACTAATCACTCAATTATTGGAACTGATTTGCTTAACCACAAAAACTCAAATGAAAAAAATTTGAGTCAGTAATTACGAGTGATAAAGTCAGAAAAATATATGATCCCCATAGCCAAATATATGTTCATAATTCTCCCAAAGATAACCTTCAAAATAAGAAATAGATATGACACCATGCAAAGTCATTTATTATCTGTCCAATATGAATTGATTGTGAAGTGTGTGTCTGTTTCGGCCCTGGGAATTGGTGTAGAACAGAGTTGGAACTACAGATGAATTTGACTCTCTATATTTCCTATCAATGTGAAGTGAGAGGTAGCTATGTTGTAGAAGATGCCCAAGAAAAACACTAGTGGAGAAAGAGACATGGACAGGTGAGAAGCAGCTTCACAAGAAAAGAGGAAGTGATGGAAGGCTATTTCACTGGAGAGCAATGATTAGTCAAAGGAATGGGTGAGACCAACAAAACTCACTTAAAGTGTACATTTAGCTGGGTGAGCATATCAGATACAAGAAATGAGTACAGAAAATAGTTTAGCTTAGTAATGCAAATATACATTTGCTATAATGATGTTATCAGCATCCTATTGGTCAAAATTCAAAATAATAGGTTATTCCTTGGCTTATTCCCGCAGAATGAAAGTATTCAACTTCTTGCTTCAGTTGTTCATTTTGTTAGTCAGCTTCCCATTATTGTTATGAACACTTGAGAAATTCAACTAATACAGAAAAAGGTTATTTTGTCTTACACTTTTGAGGGCTTTGGTCCATGGTCGGATAAACCCGCTGCTTTTACAATTTTGATTGAGAAGATGAGGCATATCACAGGACCTCACAGTACAGCAAAACTATTTACCTCATAGGTGAGAAGCAGAGTTTATGAAGAAGGCTATTGAAGGTAGTACATGGCTGGGGTCCCACGTAGAATTCCAGGGCAAATAACCAAAGACCAAGAGCCTCCCTGTAGATCTCACTTCATAAACTTTCAACTACCTCTCCAAGCTCACACATTGAGGTCTAAGTCTTTAACACATGGGCCTTTGGGGGACATTGAAGATTTAAACAATAACATTCTACTCCTGAAATTGAAAAGCTCATGTTCGTCTCATGATGAATATGAATTTAGCATACTACTAAACGTCTTAGTCTTAACCTTTCCAGTATTGCTCAAAAGTCTAAGACCAATGGCTTCTCTGTTACTCTGCAGGCAAACTTATCTTGGAGTAGGAGTAAGAATCAAGGTCACACACTTGCATGATAGAAAGGCACAGGGTAACTATTTCCATTCTAAAAGAGATAAATATTGAAATAGCAAGGAGAGATTAGATCAAAACTAAGCAGGGCAAACATTAAGCCCTATAGTTCCTCATCTAACATCTAGGGCACACTGTGTCAGGAAGTGGGCTCCCAAGGGCTTAAGCGCCTCTACCCTTATGGCCTTGTTCCTTGCAGCCCACAGGGCCACTGTTCTCTTAAACTGATCTTTGTATGCTGCCTGGTATTGCCCTTGGCAGGCATTCCATATTTGCAGCCCCTCTACCTTCCTTAGGTCTCCATTTAAATTTCCTTCAGCTTCACTCTCATAACTTCACACATGGCTCTTGCAGGGACAGCATTCAGGACTCTAATATTTCTAAATACTTGCTAGCTTCCTAGCTTTCCTGTGAAATCTTGGAGGAAGCCTCCATATTTCCATAACTCTTCTAGTCTTCATTCCTGGAAAACTAGCACCACCTGGATGAAGCCAAAGTCTGCTGCTGCTGGGCGATGTAGCTGGGATTGCTTAAACAGTGATTGCTGTGGGGCCCTGAGAGTCTCCATGGTTAAACACAGAGAAATGAATACCTAGGACTTTGGGGAAACATAGGGCTTCCCAGAGCTCTCTTCTCAAAGGCTTCTACCTTGACAATTTTTTGAAACAAATTTTCACATTTACAATTTTGAGTCTGCTATGGGCAGAATCTTGTCATTTCCCAAGATGCTCTCAAGACAACTTTCCTATCATCACAGTGCAAAGGGCTAGGCTTTAATACCACTAATCATTTTAGAAACTGCATCCTCTTTAGATATACTTTAAAATGCTCGCTCTTGCTCTGGCCAGGCTGCCCATTTGTCAAATCTTTCTGTTCTGCTTTTCTTTGCTCCTGATTCTCACTGAAATGTTGAGAAATGCATCTGCTAATACTCAAGCAGCAGCCTGAATACTGTGGTGACTTGAAATTTTCACCACTATGCAAACTTGTCTGTTGTTCTTTGCTTACTCTCTCACAAATATTAGAACATGGACAAAATGCCCCCAAATTCCTTGCCACAGTGTAACAAGTTTAGACTTTATTCTAATTCTCAGTAGAACCCACGGTTCCAATTGAAACTCCTGAACATCACTTTTATTGTTACATTCTTGCCTTTCTTTTGTTCTTCTGAATGGTCAAAATGGATTGTTAAACTCTATGCAAAGGGCCGGGGATGTGTCTCAGTGGTACACCACCTGCCTGGCAAATGCAAAGGTCTGAGTCCCATCCCTGGTACCGGAAAATGTGAAGCTCTCATTAAAAACCTTGCAGGTTTTTTCTAACCCACTTCTCCAAACTATCAAGCCCCTCTTGCAAACCAGTTCTTGATACCAATTTTATGAGCTAGTTAGCTTTCTTTTATTCTAGCAAATGCTCGAGACAGTTTAAAAATGTTTATTGTGGCTTACAAATGTGAAGGTGTCAGTTTATGCTTTGGTGAACCCATTGCCTTTAGGACACTGAGGTAAGGGAGTGGGTGTACCTCATCACAGAAGGATGTAGCAGAGCAGAAATAGTCATTTGAGGGCTGGGACAACAGAGAGTAAAGAAAGAAGATGCTTTGGTCCCTCTGTTCCCATAAGAGCCCTCTTCCAGTGATCAGAAGACCACCTACTAGGCCACATGTCACAGTTTCCATGATCTTCCCAGAGCACAAGCTGGACACATGGGCTTTTGGGAGACATTTTAAAACCAAACTACAGCCTTCCTTATGTAGCCATGGATTTACTCAGTGGATCACTGATAATAATGACTTAAAAAATAAACATTATAATGCAAATCCTTTGAAACATTCATTAATCCAGGTTTGCTTTGTAGTGGTAACACCCATATTTCTCCTGAATGTTTGATTCAGAAATGTCTAAGCTCCAAAAATTGGAAATGTCTCTCCAAGATCTCCTTCTATTGGTAAAGCAAAGCCACCCTGTAAGTCTGTTGTTAGGATGCCCTCTTTCAGTATAGCAGTCGCCCAGTGTCTTTCACATGCGTATCATCTAATATGTAGTCACCATCTTAGTAGTGAACGTATTCCATACTTTCTGCTTTGTTGAAAATGAATCCATCAGATTAAGTTTAACAAAAAATTCCAGTGGCATCTTTGTTTAAATCATAAATACATCTTCTGAAAGAGTTGTTCAGAGACAAAGGAAGATGGAAGATTAAGTGAACTCTATTAGATTTCCTCTCAGATATTTTAAAATCTGGAGTCCAAAAAGAATTAAGCAAAAGAAGCTGAATAAAGACACCATAGGGAAGTAAAAGGCTTGTAAGAAACAAAAGCCACGAGAAAGTCAAAACCATTTGAGAAAGTCATTTATACATCTCCCAGTACCTAGATTATTTTCCTTATTTCTAAGAATTTCACTTAATGATTGTTTCCAAGGTTTTCTTACATATTCTTGCCATAAAAACTTGTTTCTTGAGGTAAACCTAACAATACAAAAAAATTGATCTTAGATAGTTGGACTTCATCATTTAGGGTAGGAGTTTTGAACTTGGATCCTGTAGATAAGATAATACATCTTCCAACAGGTAAAGCATGGGAGAAAGATGAAATGCATTCCAGAAAGAGGAACTGGCTTATGGAAAACATGAAGATCCCCTACAGGAGACAATAATTCAAGATGTGAGAGTGGCATAAAGAAATAATTGTTGGCATTTGGCACTGGAACTCAAGATCATTGAGCAACCGGGCCAGAATGGACCTTATTCTTGGTAAGACAAAGGAGTCTAAGCAGAATCATGGGGGAGGAAAATAAATTAATCAAAACAAGACAGAAAATCTGAAAAGAGCAAGAGGAAAAGATGATCAAAATCCTAAGTGAGTCAGGATCCTCAAATCCAAAAGGAGTCTCCACTTATTTATGCCATTCTTCAATTTCTTCTAGCAATATTCTGTGGATTTCAATGTATACATCTTACATAATTATTGTTTAAACACTTCTAATTTTTATGCAATGTTATTGTGAATGAGATTGTTTTAATTTCCAATTATTTCACTGCTAAAAGTAAAATATTTGGATTACTTGTTCTTTGTGAAAACTTGTTTTTAATTAATTCAATAATTAATTCTAGTGGCTATTTTCAACCTTGGGAACTTCTATGCAAATAATTATATCATAGACCAGTGCTCCTATGATATAATGAAGTATAATTCACCCATAATAAAAGTGCATCTTTGGCAAGAGAAGAAAGAGGAGAGGAATGGAGGAATATGGTACAACATGGAGCTCAGTATTGATGGAAAGGGAGGGATTCAAGTTTAGCCTTTTTCTCCTTAATTTAATTCTATATTGGATAACAGTGGAGAAAATCCAGAAATAGATGGACATAAATTCAATTATTTCTTACCTTTTCATATAATCAAACAGATTTTTTGCAGTATTACAATTTAATAAAGAATAAATGCAGCACATTTCAAAGACCAACTTTCTTTTTTATTTCTGAACTGAAACCTAGTCATGTTCCTAGTCTTCTTTCTTCAGAGCAGGATCTTTGGCTATAAAATCTTGGGCAAATAGTTTTATTTCTCAGTGAATTAATTTCTTCCTACTATTATAGGAAGGAAAGTAAGCTACAGCCAGAGAAAATATAATAATCACCCAGTAGGTGCTGTGGAGTTTAAAATAAAGACATCAGAATTTAGTTGGCAACGGTCAATTGCTTGGCCTTGCAACTGTGCCCGTGTGTTGACACAACCTTGGTAGATACAAATCTATCTGGAAATTGTTCCTTCAGTGGCCTGTCTTAGATCACTCATTATTAAAAATGTTTCTGAGTTTATCGAGTTCAAGAATGCTGGTTCACACTAATAAGGCTTACAAGAGTTTGATGAATAAAACCAGAATAAATTAATAAATTAGCACAATTTACACTGAGAAATAGAAATCTAATACAGATTGAGTTTTGTGTCAGCCTGGGGAGTACATTCTCTTCCTATAGACCAGATAAGTGGAAAGATAATTTAGCAGGAAGAATGGCTGATCAGCACAGGATTGAAATAAGGCAGATGAATTTATATGATGCAAATACTGTACCTAATTGCTTCAGTTTAATAGACCCTAATGTGGCCATCTCCACAATAGGCATACTTCAGCAACTAGAATGGACAGGTGATATTTTTAGGCTTGTGAATGTTCTTTCTCAGGCAGAAAAAGTCTAATGGTTGCTTATTGCTTACATTGCAGAACACTTCCTCTTTTTACACATTATTTCTACACTTAGGTTTTTGACTTCCATTAGATTATTGAACTGATATAGAGTAAATCTGTGTTTTTAAATCTCCTAGAACTTTTAACACATTCATATCTTTTATGGGTTGATTTAATGGCTTACACATCAGTAAATCATTTGATCTACCATTTCAATTTTTTATATTTTTAGAGTATACTGATTCATATATAATTGTAAGCAAATCAGTTTTTGGAATGTTCTGTAAATTCTCTTTGAATAGTCACAATGATCCTGAGAAGTCAATACTTCTAGCCTAATTCTTTTTTTCTGCAGACTTGAAAATTGGAACTCAGAGAATTTGGGTGATTTTTCTGTATTTGACAAATGTGTAAACATTTATCGTGTGCCAGATTTAATAGGAAATGATAGGACAGCAAATGGTCTATTCATGCTGTCTTACAAGAACATACTGATCACTGAATCAAATTTAAACACGTGAGACATTTTGAAAATACTATCTAAATACTAGGAATTTTTGTTCCATTTGAGGCTTGTTTTATTTAATGAGTGAATAAATGAATGAATATGTACTATATTTGGTATCTCTCCTTTCTATAAATAAAGTCACAGCGAAGTTCAATAAGTATTCTCCAACTTTATAAAGAGTTCAAATAATTACAGTACCAATTGTTGCAATTTTTGATACACTGCAGCAGTGTTTCAGGCATTGTGGAGAACACAGAGGAAATATGACCCATGCTAACATATACTATCAAAGAAGGACAAAGGCCATCAAGATAACACAAGGAGAAAGTGAATAACTTGTTCAAGAGGAAACAGCTGGAGCTGGTTTCTGAATGCTAAACAGTTTTGAATTTCTCTTTGATTCCAGGGAACCAAATCTTCACACCTTAAACTTTGAGATGTATTCTGAACATCCAGGAGACCCCCAGACTAAGTTGGGAATCTCCTGTGGAGAGGTTTCCCTAGGTCATCTTCTTAACTCTTTTCTTCGGCATTGGTTCAGGGATTTATGAGAAAGGGCCTTTGTCTGATATTTTCTTCTCTGATCTTAGCACAATGGTGAAGGAGCAAAGGTCTTGTAACTTACAATGTGGGAAATACAAAATAAACTAACTGATACAGTATTTCAATTTGAGGCAATAGGAGTAGTTCTTAATATAGAGTTGTTTAGTTCTTAATATAGAGTAGATAATATGATAAGAACTTAATATAGGGTCTTATTTAGCATGAAATCAACTGTAGGTAGTAGGGCTATCACTACCTTCCTGTGAAAGGTAAGGAAACTGAGTGCCAGAGAGGCTTTGTTAAAACCTCCTGAGCACTTAGCAAGCTTTTAAACCAATCATGGAAAATTCCAGACATCTAAAGTTTAACCAGGCCCTCCTACACCAGCCTTTCGGTGAGGGCCTTGTAGGTTGCATCTGCCACAGAATCTGCTTCTTTCCTGGATCTGATATCATGTAATTATTTCTTCTTTTTGTATATCCTGGAATATCTTCTTATTACTGCACTTGAGAATTAATTTGTAGTGTTATTGTAAGTGTAAAGAAAGGTACTTCTATACTAGGTTCGGTTCACCTTACCTATAAGAATAATGTTTAAATTTCTCTTCCCACAAATATTGCATAAGATATTATTGAAAGATTGTCTTTATCAAGAAGTTATTGAATTGAAGGTCATTTGGGTGCCTGGAGAATGTTAAGTCATATGTAAATTAATGTGAAATTCCACACATTGCCTACTTAATGTATTCTGTTAAGATTACAAGATAATCAGAAATGTGTTCTAAGTCACAAGCAGAAAGAGCTGGTTAGTCTCTAATATGAACAAAAAAACAAGGATAATTTATTGACCATCTGCTATTCTCCTACTATTTTGCTGTAGAATTTTTATGATATAATTCCTTCTCTATATCAATTTATAAAGATGGAGGATAGTAAAAACTTAAAATTTAAAAAAAAAAAAAACCTCGTGAGGAATAGAACAGTTTGCCTATATTAACCTTCAATACCTATCCAATGCTGTACTTTAGACAAATTGTTACTATACATTTGTGTATTTAAATGAAAAAGTAAGTGCACAAAATGTGAGTCATTAACTATGCACTAGTAAGTTCTACATTTGAGATCTTTAAATGAGTCGTTAAAAACTCTACTTCTTTAGGTTGCAATCCATAGAAATCCCAACTCAAGTGTCTGGTCCTTATCTCCTTTCTCATCTTATCTAAATTTTAAATCTCTAAGTGAATAGCTTGTTTCTTCTGATGTCAAAAGTCTTAGTGTCCTAGAGTAGATTTCTGTTTCAGGAGATCAGGGCATTATAGGGAATTAACATGGAAGGAATAGGACTGCAAGTGAAAACCAACCAATTTAAAAATGTCAGTCTACATAATGGGGTGATTATATGGTAAAAGTTCATTAATTCAGATTTTAAAATTTAGTTTGGGCTGGAGAGAAATTTACTTTTCCATGCCTCTTAAGACATAGTGTGGCAAAGGAAATAGTGTGATAATACTAAGGGAATACAAATTTTAAAAATTGAAAAGAAGTTGCTTTCAATTATTTGCCTGCAATAATAACAATGTATGCATTTTTATTGACCCAGATTCCCTAAAACACTTAAAAAGCCATCACTTTATTTATTTTTGTTTGTTTACTTATATATTTATTTATCGCATGCTCCCAAAATAATTTAGAGGCCCCAAACACTTTTTGAGCCCAAAGAACACCACATTTCCAAAGTTTATTGTAAAGAACACCCATATGTGCCTCAATGTATATATGTGAGTTATCTGAAGTAGGGGGGAGAGAGTTGATAGAAAAGATTTTATAACTGAAGACACTAAAGATAAGAGCATTTTGAAGACTTGCTGAAGTTAATCATAGAGACAGTAAATGGGATAGGCAGGCGGATCAGTTCAAAATCTCCATTGCACAGGATTCTCTTCCACAATTAGTACAATGTTTACAAATAAATAAAGCTCTGATTTTCACCACAAAGGCTCTATTGAAGATGCTTATTTAACTAAAGTAGTGTCTCTTACAGTTGAAGAGCCTGCCTTGGCTATGAGTAGCACTGAATCACAGAGATGGGGTAGGGAATATCAGATTCTTATGTTGAAGAATGGGCATTAATAAAAGTTCACACTAGATGTCATGTCAGAAGCACCTCTCAGTTTAATTTCTTCTGTTCTCCTCATCCTAGCACTGCTGTTGTCCAAACACTTTGCATTACTAAAGGAGGTGATTACAGCTGCCTGAAACCTGGCCCATTCTAGACAATCTCATCTCCTGGATTTAACCCATATTATGTTCACTGGAGTTGTATTTTCTTTGTACTATTTTCCATAAATAGTTATTTAACTAAACCATGTATTCCTGCCTAGATACCTCTACTGTCCTTTTGTGGTGTGTTTCTAGAACATAATAAAATAATTCTTACTGAGAATGTGAAATCTATGAGGGTCTGGCCTCATATGAATCCCTTTTCTCATCTGCTATTGCTTTCCATATTCAATGTACAGTCTTTCATTATCTGTCTATCCATATTATGTTCCTTAAAAAACTTGAACCCACTTTCCTTTTTACCACA